TCATCGGTGATTATTTACCCCAAATATGCTAATTACCAAATACCCTCGCGTGCCGTTTATAACCTCTAATTGTTATAAATGATACCTCATGGCGGCAACTCCATACTTCCTCGCAAAAACAAAATGCGCATGCGCCATTCGCAATGACCAATTGGCTCAAGCAAATCGAGTTTGAAAATATGCAAGGGCTAGTGAAATATTCACAGTAATAAAGATCGTTTACGATGTATAATCAAGGATACACATTTTCGAGTCGCGAGTTGTGAATCTACAACGTAAACACCAAACAAATTTATTTTTTGAATTTATTTTTCTGCACTAACTGCATTTAGTTCCCAACCACTGATTATTCTGTGGATAAAGTGTGTGTATATTGTTGTATTCCAGTGGGACTGAATGGGTATTTGTAGATGCATATCATAGCCATGTATGCATTAAGAGATATGTATCACAGGACTCAACTCAGTGTTTCCTGAGACATAGTCGAATCTGCTAGTTAACAAACATTACGCAGCAACTAGCCGCATAATAGCAAATATTGTTTAATTTCGGTTCTTTACTTTCCACAATTTAATAGATTAGTTCACTTTAAATTTAGGTCTAATAGTTTGTTTGCAGGAATGCCAGATTCAATGGAATAATAAAGACGCTTATAGTATGCTATCATATGAGCAGGGACTGGAGAAGAGGGCTGTGAGCGCTCCTCTGACCATGGCTGCCACGTTACAGCACAGTACCAATGTGACCACAGTTAGTGAACATGTTGATTCAGGCATGTTGGTCGAAAGTGCTCTTACGAGATTTAAATCATGCCCCGTTTATAGTAGAGAAGCTCTTCACCATCTTCATTATTGACAAATAGCATCTAGCGCTATTCACAGGCGATCGTTCTGCAAATGACGAGTTATCCTTCTCTGTTTGTTTTTTTTCAAAGCAAATATTTTTTTTCATTCTGTCGACAGAGTGCACAATCGACGAATGAGCATTCTTTCACGGTGATTTCGCAGTGTTTTAGGGTCGATAGAGGGTTCTTCGCTTCATTTTTAGACTTTCTCTGTAACGTCCAATGCATTTTTCGTGATCACAGGTCAAATTGAAACTGAAAGTTGAAATGATATCGAAAAACGAATCTCAATGGGAATCTCATTAAAATTATTATGTTAAAAGTTAATAGACGAGAAACAACAATTAAAATTAAAAAAATTAAAAAAGTAAATTCTGATGGAAAATTTGCTTCAAAGAAAAAAACGTAAATGAATTTTAGAAATAAAAACGGATTTTAAAAACGAAAATGGATTTTAAAAATGAAATTGAATTTAAAAATGAAAATGGATTTTAACAACTGATTTCGAAAATGAAAACAGATCACATAAACGTGTGTGGTTTTAATAATCGATGTCAGAACCACGAATAGTTATTAAAAATGGATTATAAAATAGTAATGGATTTTCAAAATGTAAATAAATTGTTGAAATGGTTGCCGTACACGAGTGCCTGAACCGATCAATTTAATATTTTGTAGTACGTCTGGCCATTGGTTTATTTGATAATAATGAAATAAATATGTCCAATTATGTGGTTATGCTGGTAAAAATGTCCAATGTGTTTTGTGTTTGTGAAAATTAACCTACCTCACAATAAATAAATGCAACGATGGCTGATGAATGACATTTTACAACAGATAATACCATGTCACTTGACCTTTACGTCAAGTTAGCTATAATTAAACGGTCTTTTTCTCAAGGGAACTGGGCAGTGGCCAGCAAAATATGAAGGTGGTCAAATCCAAGACAGTGGCGTAAAACTGGATGAGAACCATACACATTTTATTCTCGTTGATGATGATGACGATGATGATGATGATGATGATGGTGATGGTGATGTAAAATACCACCCGAGTAAGCGTGAAAAAATAGAGGTTAATAGACCTGGTGACTTAAAACGTGAGCGATTTGTAATTCTCTGGTTATTGTATTTTATTCTCGGGTTCGAACATCCGGTAGTTTTTACCGCCTAGCAATCACAATAAAAAAAACTGTCGAAAACTTGTTGTTCAGGATTGTCTCATGTTTGAGTTTGTGCTATTTTCTCTTAAGAGGTTTCCATCGGCTCTTCAACCGAATTTCAAAATTAATAATAACGCGCACTCATATGGAAATGAAGTTGTTACGACATTCCTGGCAATTTGTGTAAAGTCCAAGAACATTTGTAACAATAACTGAACGCTATAGCCTCATTGACGTTTGTGGAGTATGGAAGTTGTTGGCGTGACAATGTAATAAATACAAGCTGTCATATCCCACAAACGTCTGGAAGATTCAATAGCGTTCCGTCATATTCTAATCGTTAAACATTTATAATTATTTATATCATTCTGTATATAACACTTATGTCCATAATGACGGTGGGATTTGACAGCGATAAAGTGGTCATTCATAGCTAACAACGAAAATAGCGCATGGTCGAACCAATAATGCGATTTTTTTTCTTACATGATTACTTATATTCTGTAATCATAAATACAACAATTAATTATTTAATATTTGAACTGGTATATAGATGCTGAAATGCTTTAAAACAAATTATATCAACTCAATTAATATTTTAATCTAAAAAATGTTTGCCTAGAGATTCCACTTGTACTGATTGTCGTGAATGGAGATTGCAGTACATTACATAGGTTGTTATACCATGCAAGTGAACATACACCAGCCATTGTTGTTGAGGGAAGTGGAGGGATAGCTGACATAGTTGCTCGTACCCTACAAAATGAGTGAGTTTAACATTATGTTATTAATATGATTATTCTGCTAAACTCGAGTTGTCACCCGAATCATAATATCTAAACACAATCTAATGTTATTTAGATATTTTGTGAGTTTCATTCAGTCAAAATAATTATTTTTTGCAGTTGAATTTTTGCTTGCAATGCATCATGATTGCCCGGATAACTAATTATATCGATCCCCATTTCTCAACGCTCATGCATGTTTTTTTGGTTTATGCTGTTTATTTCTTTTCATTACATACTTTCGTACAATAGTTAATTCTAATAATTTGTTTACTTACAATTTACTCATTATGAAGTTTGTATTACGGTAGGGGTTCATGTGATGAAGCAACAATTGGGCAAATAATAGAAGAGAAAAGAGGAATTGAAAACAAAGAAGAAAACGACAAAATTAAAGAAATGGTGAATGATATACAAGAATACAAGACTAATGTAAGGTTATATTTTAATTTGTAATATGTAAATTTGATGTAAATCAAGGTAATCACATGATATCTTAATTTCGACAAACAATCTATGTTGCTATGGCAACATAAATTGCATTGTATTACGTACTTGATTGTTTTACGCTCACATTTCATTAACAAAATGTAAAATATACGGAGGGTCTCACTAAATACTACTAGCGCTACTGCTATATTTTATTTTGTTTATTTGTCCTCGTCTAACTACAAACTAAAATATCAACACAACCGCCGATATTTCTGTTGTAGACAGACATTTTACAAGGTTTCTTCCAAAGTAAGTGAAAAGATAAGTTAGTAGAGGAAATTATGCTTCAAGATCTGAGCAATACTGTTAAATACCGTGTAATGGCCTAAATACCACATTTGTTTTGTTGTGCTATTCGCACTTAGCTTCAAATTTAAGCTTACTCCGCCACGTCATTTTTGTGTCATTAGCACTTCCTTTTTATAAAATGTACATATAAACAAACTGTTATCACTGACATTCTTTTCTCTAATCAAACTGTCCTGACATCGACTTATATACAGCTTAACGTCGTCGTCTCTTGCCCTATTGCGAATTACATATCACCACGCCTACTACTAACGTTTGTACAATTATTCCCTTGTACAGTTAACGTCCTTTCAATTAAAGAATGACATTGATAGCGAAAATATATCATCTGCCATTGATGACGCAATAGCTAAAGTAAGTTATTTATTATTATTATTATTATTATTATTATTATTATTATTGATACTATTATTATAATTATTGAAACATGGCGGTTCAAAGATATTTTTTCATTCTATATTTTCCTCACAGGAAAAAGACTTCCCAAAATTGGAATCAAGACTTGTATCTAATTCAGTGGAAAAAGTTGAGCACTTTCTGAAAGATGGATTAAATTTGAAAAAGTTTTTGACTCCCGAACGCCTTGTTACATTGTATAAAAAGGTAAGTATTAAATTATAGCAGTAAACTGAAAGTCGTTTCAAAATTACGTTATTTTATTGCAGTCATAAAATTGTGTTTTATTGCAGTTAAAAACTCACTGCGTTGTCACATTATAGCAATAATATAACGTTTCATCGAGCAGACTGTTTTCGTTTACGTCAATTTGAGTCAAGTGAGTGTGACAATGGCAATGATGTTTAATAACAAGTTGTTGAATGTGTTTTAAGAGGAACATACACAACTAAGCTGTGAATGTTAGAATCATAACTAAAATACGATACAATAAGCGTAATTAATGACACACGTACAAAACATATGACAAATAAAGTCATCTGTCATAACAAAATGAATAAGAACTATTTTGGAGCAAATGTTGTTTTAACAAGAAAACTCTACTTGCATTGGGTCCAGGCTTGCCCAAACAGCTCAGCAAGTAAGAAACTTTGAAACGCTCAAACTTTCACGCCATACAGTATCGTCATTTGCTGTTTTTTACGTAATAAATACTGTAATTACCCGTTTTCAAGTTTACTGTGAAAATTTGAGCTCATTTATGTAATGTACAATTGTGCAGTCTTTGGTTATGGGGACTAAAACTTTGTCACCCAAATCCTTATTATTGTAACTGTAGTATTCAGCATTGTTAATGACGTCACCAATTTTCTAAACAATGAATATATAGTGTTTATTGATGACTTAACATGAGTGATTTACATAAATACAAATGATTCATATTGGTACCCTACGTTTACATCATTAGATAACGGAAATAATACTAAACAAATCACACAATGCCTAAATATATGCTTATGTCATTTCTTCAAGTCTTTAGATTCAAATGAAAAGAATAATGCTCGTTTTAGCACAAGACGTATTCTAAGAGAGCGTTATAAGGTAAGTCTATATTTGTAATAGTTTTACCAAAACTTTAAATGATTTTAGTAACCATCTTTCGAAGTAATGATATCGATTTTTTTCTCAGACTGGTAAACTACTTGACTACTGGTTAATTAATCTGCCATTTCAGGATTTAAAATTCAGAATTAAACCATGAGCAAATTTTAATTAATATTTACCTTACCACTGTTAAATGGAGGTGCTTAACCACACTTCCATGAACATTTTAAAATACAGTTACCATTTATTTTCTAATTTCGAGTTTGAACAGAGTGTGAATTCGCTATGAAAATTGTGACCATTAAATCGGTTAAAATTTACATATCATTTTTTACATTAAACCTATCATATACAACATACATATTTTGATAGAATAAGCAACAAAGAATATGGCTTTGAATGTGATAATATTAATAACAATTTACTCTAGTCAGAAAGTGGAATTAAACAACGTTAACTAGTATATACATTGTCATATTTTAATAGTATAATGATCTATATAATATATTATTAATCCTTATTATTAATATCCACATTATTCTTGTTCATTAGATATTCAGTAACAGTACAGGTAGTAGAGATAATAGATTGACGCCTTTGAGAAATGTGATGAAGAAACTTGTACATGATATAAATAAGGATCTATATAAGGACAACAAACTTTCTGATCTCCCCGAAACTGATTTATTTCTTTGGGCCTTGATAATGAATCGGCAACGGATGGCCCTATGTTTCTGGAAAGAATTAGATAATGGAAATATTGGTGAGTATCTCTGAATACTGGCAGTTCAATGTATATGTATTCACATTTGATTTGTCACTACTACAAAATAACAATTAGAGTGATATGCATGGTACAATGCAGACACACTGATAATATAATAATATAGCAAAGGATAATCCTGAAAATACCTTGACAGTGCAGTGGTTTCACATCTTTTGTGTGGGGATTATTTGAGTATATCTGGCCATTTTACATATCAGCTAAGGTGACTACAGAATATTTCTAAATTTCAACTTACCCGCGTAAGAAGAAGATGTGTTTCACGGAAGTCTAATGAAGACTTTGTCATGGAATATGTAAATGCCAATACGTGAATTGATTTTAAAATTAGTGCTAATTTAAATGTAATAGCTCAAAAATAAAATTAGTTGACAAATGAGGCGATCAATTGATTAACAATGACAAGTAACCTATTCATTGTATGCTTTTCAAACGCACAGAAAACCGGATCAACAAATCCAATTAAGATGTTCGAAGATCACATAAAAAGAATTCATGATGTCACTCGATTCAACCATTTATGTATCAGAATAACATTATACATTATAGTAGTTTAACTGTATTTGTTTCAGGGGCAGCACTAATTGCTAGCAGAATGTTAACCGCTTTGGCTGAAACTGCCGATGATATTGAGGAACATGCTCTAAGTAAAATTCTGTTGCAAAATGCTAAGTAAGTAGAATGCTATGTGAGGTTGCAATGCATATTTCTTGTGAACATGTCTTTTATTCTGTAATATTTGCCAGGCCTTACTATATAATTATTATAATAGGTACAATTTTACCTTTTTAACTTGAACTTGATGTATATTTCACATTGTGTATGATCCCTATGCATCTGTCCCTCATAGTATTGGTGAACGGTATGATGAAACTTACCAGCATTATAAGTTGAAGCACCGTTTAATACATTGAAATTCACTGTACGTTTATTTAAATAAATGTGTCGCATATTTTTCCACTTATTAGTGACTTTCAAGACCTGGCTATTGGAGTTTTAGACACATGTTACAGTACGAAAAGACAGTTATCAGAGGATGGGCTTGTCCGCAAGCTAAAACAGTGGAATAACACTACTTGCTTGTCGATTGCCAACGTCTCCAAGCAGATGCGATTCGTGGAGCATGAGTGTTGTCAAGTATTTTTGCAAAGCAATTGGAAAGGAAAATTAGTTATAAACACCACTTTTCAGTGGATTAAGGCGAGACAAGCTACTGTATTACATATTCTCACTGTAATGTCACAAAGTTTTGTAATCACGAGAACATAACGTTAAAATTTAAGTCGTGATTTATGTTCATTATTATTATGAAATATAATCATAATTCGAAAATAAGTTTGAACTATTATTACAGTCCAAATGCATAGCTGTTTTATTGTGTGTCAACGTTGACAGGGGAGAGGGAAAGGGAAACAAATAGTATATTTTGTGTAACGGTACCACAATAACAATAACTGTTTTTCCACAGTTCTTTCTGGCACTACTCTTTCCGATTATATTCGTTTTCGGAATCACAATCACTGGTGAAAAGACAGAAAGAAAATATCGATATCCTGTCATGTGGAAGTTGAAGTGTTTTTTTACTTCACCAATCACCAAATTTGCCTACAACTGTGTAAGTTACACTTATTTACTGTTTCGATATTGATCTGATAGTTTTAGCCAGGTGTGAACAATCGTGTGTGTGTCGTCGCTGAGTCATATTGCAAGAATGCGCGTGTCACTTGTGTGAGTTTTCATTGGATGAGGGACTTGCACTTATAACAGAAACATAGGCTGCCCGGTACGTCGACGTTAATGAAAATAAATACAATGTAAGTTGTATGTGTGGACTCAATACAATGTGTTACAAAGATGGCAAATTTCCGTGTATCAATCAGAACAAAAATATTAGGAAGCGTTGCGTGCACGCGCACGTATTCTACTAAATAAAACTGTCTGCCTGAGTAAAAAAAATCATTGAATAAACATTTCATTTGTTTTTCTTATTTTACCTTATTAGAGTGAATACACGCAAGCACAATAGCGACCCATGTAACCCTTGTGGTATTCATAGAAAAGGGTGGCTAACCAGCATTCATTTTTTTTTAAATCGAGCGTAACATACACTGCTGGCGTATGAGCGGAAATTGTAAATTACATATTCCATTAGACTGAAGCACATATTCAGTTTCTATCACTTGCTACCCAGAAACGTATCTAAGGTCGTGTGAAGTTATTGAATCATATTCACATTCAGCAACAATATATGTAAACTAATAATAACATAGATATATTAATGACAATAAACCCTACGTTCTTATTCTTAGATATCATATTTGATTTTATTGGGTGTATTTAGTTGGTTTATTTTGACTGACCTACGACCCGTATCTGAACCAAATTCTCCAAGTATCAAAGAATGGATTGTAATTGCTTGGGTGTGTACACTGTTTGTAGAAGAAATCAGACAGGTAAATCTACTTGATAGGAATGTTTTTATGACGCCGTACATTATTAGCAAGTGAATGTCTTGATTTTATTGCGATCTGCATTTTTTCAAGAATTATGAAATTTTATATAAAATATATAGTAATTACTTGCTAGCTCATATATTTGGTGCTATGCATAACCACGCACACGGTATTAGATATATACAACAATGTGCAGTACCAATATAGGATGAACATCAATATTAGTTCCCAACCAATAACTTGAATCCATTTTAAAATACGATTGAACCACAATGTTTCATTAAAATCAGAATTTATAATGTTGACAAAATTTGGCAAACTATTTGTACTAGTGACGCCCATGCAACAAAAAAGTAATAAAACCGTTTTGTTAAATAATAGTTATTTGGTGTAGCTGATGTGTTTTAATATGGCTTCCCATTGTGCACCTTTTTTGTGTTTGTTTTTAACCAACTTGACAAAACAGTGAGTAAGCAGAGCAATGTTAAAAAACGACAAAGAAATCAATGCATACATAAATATTTATGAAATACAACCCGAAACATTTGAACAAATGTTCATTTTTTTGTAAGAAAGTTATTCCCACCTAGCTGCCCAAGAAAACAACACATAGCTGGTGAAGGGACAGTTAACAAACGTTATCATCTGTAAAAACACTTTACAGTGGGTCCGTCAAACGCGTCAGAAAATAACTAACCCTTCAGGTAAAGTGGCAAAATGATTATGAATCCATTAAAGCGATACTCACATTGGGAAATCTGCAATGTATTCAAGTTAATTGAACACATCAGTACACAGTACACTTTTCAGTCTTCATTTCAAATCGTAACTACGTAACACGTCGGTTTCCCATCTACCGTTGTTCTGGTGAAAATAACTAAATTTTTATTTTTTCAGTTAGTTATACGCGATGCACAGAGTGCTCGTCATATGTTAGAAGAATGGATTTCTGAGGGATGGAATATCCTGGATTGTTCCATGTTTGTCTCATTCACTTTAGCTGTTTCCCTTCGTTTTGTACTCCCGAATGACAAGTTCACATTTGCAAGAATCTTCTACTGTTTATCGCTGATGTTATTTTATTTCCGGCTTTTGCAAATGGGACTAGTACATAAGCATATTGGGCCTAAGATTATAATGATATATGAAATGGTAAGTTGTTCATTCTTAGAATCAATTTGTTCGCATTCAAAGCAAGATTTTTAGATGATGTAACACCGATTGTATGTTGACTAATAATACAAAGAGTACGGGTTGTTCATTTTATTATAATATTTATTACAGAGAAACTGAAATATGCGTTCATTTCTGCATAATCGAGTGTAATAATATATTCTTTGTTCAGTTAAAGGACCTTCTTTCATTTATGCTGATATTGGCTGTGTTCATCCTAAGCTTCGGTATTGCTATAGAGGGTATACTATATCCAAACTTGGACTCAAGTCCATTGGTATTTGTGAAAGCACTATATAAACCATATTGGCAGTTATACGGAGAAATATTTCTGGACGAAGTTGAAGGTCAGTGTACGAAATCTACAATATTTGTTTCATTTACGCATTATTAGATGTTGATAAAGCTCGGATTCTATAAAACGCAGTTGTGACTACTGTTTTGCTGAATATTACAAACACCTTAAAAACTCGATAGTATTCTTCATGGAATCCACAATATACACTGATTCTAATGTAGTGTAGAGTTAAAATGAAATGATCGAAAACGGAAAAATATAGTCTGTATATACGCTCTGTATTTTCTAAGGCATTTGTTGGTTCATTGCAAGCTTTTTTAAATATTCTTACTGTATAACTACTATTATTTCATTCTTCTTGAAGTACAATGTGAGTCATATTAAATTTGCCACATATTATGGAACACAGCGATTAGCTTGACGGATATTGTTGCGAATAAAGTTGTGGATGGCTTGATTTTTTTGTATGTAGAAGTAGTTGATGTAGTGCTTGAAACGTGAAGTTACAATTTTTGATAAGCTGGAATTAGCACTTTTGTTTTGGAATTCACCAACTTAAGTACTTTCCTAGTTATTACTGGTATTCATCGTGCTTGCACAACATTTACCCTCTTGTCAATAATGTGTAAACTTTTAATTGTGTAATTTGCTAATAAACTATGGGGTGAGAATACCGCCAAAATTAGCGGGAAAATAACCGAATTTATGACAATTAGATGTCAAGATAATGTTAAATAACGACATAATTATAACATAATGAAACAATGACAAAATAATATTAATAGCAATTACACAATAATGAAATAATTGAGAAATAAAGTTGAAATAATGAAACAATAGCAATACGATGCTGCAGTAATAACACAATAATGAAATAAGCGCAAAATAATGTTTAAATAAATACCAAATAACCGAATAATGACCAATTAATAACCAAACAAGTTTCCAAATAAAGACCAAACAACTAAAAAATGTTCGAATAATGACACCAAGCTAATTTTGGCGGTATTCTCACCCATAATAAACAACCTAGCAGGTAGGCTTCTCATTCCTATATATCGGTCATAAATTACTTATCACCTCGTAAATTGTCATGACGTTGTTCAATGGAGCAATGATTTTCCCGCATCATAATATAAGTAGAAATGTTCGCAAGGTTAATGAAGCAAAACACCAACAAAGTATGGCTAGTTGCTGCAAGCAAATATGGGCTGCCTAAAGTATTTTGTTGTCTAATACATTAAATAAATGCAAAGGTACATAGAACGAACACTCAAAGTGTTTCTCACGTTTATAATAAAATGCTCAGTTCATTTTGTTCTCATTTTTATTAGGTTTAGTGAACAGTGAAACTTGTGGTGATGACCCAAGGCTCATTGACACTTGTCCTAGTTATACCTGGATTGTACCAGTACTAACAGCCGTGTATATGTTATTTTCCAATATTTTGCTGATCAATCTTATTATCGCAATTTTCAGGTAAGGATTTCAGGTAAAGAGTTTAAATTTGCACTTGTGCCGATGCATCGTCCATACATCACATATCTAACAAATACGTCACTTTAACACTGACCCAAATACATTAAGTCTTCATGTATCACAATTTTTAGGTAATGAACAATGTGTTCATCGTTATATTTTAAATGCAGCTACTCAATACAAACAGTTTTAGAGAACTCCAGAACTCTCTGGTATTTTCATCGCTATGATCTGATCAAGGAGTACATTGAAAAACCGCCATTTCCTGCTCCACTAGTCATATTTGCTGTTGCATATGAATTTATTGTTTATCCCTCCCGATGTATACACGGTAAGTTAACAAAATATTTCAAACTTGAAGAAAAACTATTATTGTTACTAAAGCAATAGCATTCTTTCTTTCTTTCTTTCTTTCCTTCTTTCTTTCTTTCTTTCTTTCTTTCTTTCTTTCTTTCTTTCTTTCTTTCTGGTGTTTCTGGTGTTTCTTTCTTTCTTTCTTTCTCTTTCTTTCTTTCTTTCTTTCTTTCTTTCTTTCTTTCTTTCTTTCTTTCTTTCTTTCTTTCTTTCTTTCTTTCTTTCTTTCCTTCTGGTGTTTCTGGTCTTTCTTTCTTTCTTTCTTTCTTTCTTTCTTTCTTTCTTTCTTTCTTTCTTTCTTTCTTTCTGGTGTTTCTTTCTTTCTTTTTTTCTTTCTTTCTTTCTTTCTGTATTTCTTTCTTTCTTTCTTTCTTTCTTTCTTTCTTTCTTTCTTTCTTTCTTTCTTTCTTTCTTTCTTTCTTTCTTTCTTTCCTTCTTTCTTTCTTTCTTTCTTTCTGTATTTCTGTATTTCTGTATTTCTGTATTTATTTTTGTATTTATTTCTGTATTTCTGTATTTATTTCTGTATTAATTTTTTTTTCATTATTAATGGCAATAAAGTTCCATTATACATATTAATAACTATTGATTTTCATTTTCGTTAGACTTATTTCATTAATTTGTGTTTACTTTTCAGAAATAAAAAAGTTGCATCCACTACGTAAGTTCCTCAAAATGTGTTTATTTGTTCATTTTAAAGTTATGCTTTCCATTATGTTGCCTATTTAATAAGGAATTTACGTTCATGTAATCATTAGGATTATTTCTTTTTCTATGACTTTTACATTAGGCACTAACATAAATTTGTCGTATTGATGTTGGTGTATGAGCTACCAACCTAAAAGATAGCCTAACATGCCTTCATTTCGATGGCAAACACGTTGTATTTATGTTCGGAATTTCTTACGAACAAAATATTTTATGTCGAAATTTTGCCGCTATTTTTGAATTTTCACGAAAAATAGCAAAATAATTGATCCGAGTTCATTTTTGGGAAATAACTTAATTTGGTCGGAATATTGTTTTTCTACATGCATTTGTATACATGTATATTCAAATTCAAATCATCATTATAGTCACAGTCGTAGAAATGTGTTTTGAAAGCTTGTCTCGTTTTTCTGCAGCAATATTAAATTTACAAAAAGGCAATATGAACTATTTACAACTACTTTTCAACCACTAATACTGTCATCAAAATATGCTAGTATTGATTGCACACGAAGCGCATTAAAATATTATGGTTGCCCATATCGTTTGGTTGATAGATTAACAGCAACAACATTTTTAAATCGATTGGTCACAAACTGATAAATCATATGGTTTAATGTGTAGTATATATTGGAAAAAAATAAATATATTGTACACGTTTCCATAGTCATAAAGGGGTCTCAGTAAAATGCAATGAACGTATAACAACATCAATATTAAGTACATTAAGCATAAGTTAATTATATCACAAACGTATCGTATTTTCGTAACAACTGAGTCAAGTACACATTTTTTGCAATGTACAGATTATATTTACATTCATTCCATTTTCATTCCGTTTCTGTGAGCTTGTGTGCTAGAACATGCTGAACCAAATGTTGCATTGTTTTCACTGAAATTTTACTAGTACATCAAACATAATATTTAAGTTGAAGAGTAAATGTTCACAACCTCGGATATATGTAATTTGAATGCCTAGTTAAAATAGAGAATAAAAACACACTATTCCCTTTCGTTCAATGTGTTTTTGCAAATGTGACACGGATTCCAGCAACATTTCAGTAAAATAATAGATTCTAGATACAGTATAAATTTCATTGACTGAGTTGCACGACTCATGAGTTGTACGCCTTCGAGTATAAAGAGCTTCGGGTAAGGGATTTTCCTAACAACGTGACTCCGGGTAAATCACTTCCGGCCGCATACCTTTGCAGGAGTATTGAAAATAGAACAGAGCTAGACTTCTCTGTTCTATATAAGTGTATCTAAAATTATTTCGTCCCGTTGTGGTACGCTCAATCCATGGCTTTTGGTAATGGATAAATAATAATAATAAAGCCTGTCCCATTGCTCATTATCATCATAGTCCTACTGTTCAAATCTGTTTAATATTTGGTTTTCCTGCCATCTGACACCCAATGATGCCCTGTTGTGTGACAACTTTGCAGTTGTCTGTAAATAGACGAGGTGGTTATTGGCTGTCAATCCATTGAAGGTGCGAACTCATCCGTGAATGCCCAATTTAGGCATGGATTGTATACCTGATTTCAGCTGGCACCAGCCTTCTGCTGAGACGGTGGTATTCGTCTAGGATGGAATCTAGTCTAGGATTGTTGAGGTATTATCATAATCAAGTTGAGGGAATGTTCTTTCTCAGTAAGATGTAAAACCGTACGTAACCATTGCGTTTAGAATGCATACTTCTAAATAACTGCTGATTGATTTCGGATGGAAGAAACATAAATGCAAATACACAAGCAGTTTTATGTTAAAACTGAAATGACACACACATCATTACGTTAACGGTATATGGCATATGCTTTTGTACTTACATGTATCGGGAACGGTATATATCCATCTATAAAATGATGTGCAAGTTTTAATATATCCACTATATAATTTACGTTGAGCATAAACAATTTCCATGTATGTCATGCATGCATATGTACCGTGACATTAAACGAATTCGTTGTTCATGAAAACAAATATTTTCACTATAGACTTTATAAAAAAAAACAATTACGTAACATTTGTAATCAAGAGTATTTTGTTCTCAGACACACTTTCGAAGTGGGTAAATATCATGTTAAAAATTGTTTAAGAAACCATCAGCAATAAGAAAAGGGAACCCAACAAATAGGTTTCAGATGAGACATTACAAGAAGTTGAACAAAGGACAGGTTAGAGAAAACAATCTGTAATCAGCAGAATTCCAATTGAACAAATACTGCAGAACAAGTGTCACAAAATAGAAAGAAACTGTTCCTAAACCCTACGAAGGATTCATATAAAGGTGTCAAGAAATACCAGCCAACTTTTAGATTCAATCAATGGTGACGATTTACGATACTCTGATAGTGAAGATTGCTGTTAAAACTCTAGAAAATGAAGAACTTGTATCATTAAAAACTCACTGGCAAAGAACGAATGAACCACCACCAATTCTTGAAGAAATTAAGCAAGCCAAGAAATAACATCATGCTAGTAAAAGACACGGAAATAATGGGGTCTTGAGTATTGAAGGAAGAATGTAGAGACGATCACAAGCTTTGCACTATGATCTGCGTAACGAGGAAATTCCACAAAGGACAAACGGGATTACGCCCTGGAAAAGGTTCTAGAAACAAAATCATGAACCTTAAAGTGACCCTCAACAGGAACAGTATTGATGTTTTCCTTTGTCGTCAATTTACAATGAAAGTAAAAATCAAGCAATTTGATATATTATTTCCTTAAGATCAGTATATAACGACAGCACATTGTGAATGTCCGTTGTTTGCACTGAACATATCAAATAGACAAATTTACGCCGTTGAATTTTGATACAGTGTTGTTGCACTGGCTCAGCACTCCATGTTGTTTTAAACTCTAGCGACACCCGCAAATAGTCAAATTGAAAGGCTTGTTACCTTCCTTTGGTGCTTTGGTATTACGACTTCCAATCACAATGTCTTCAAATTGTCCCTATCGACGGCAAACTATATCAGCACTATATAACCGAGTGCTTGAAACTGGTTTGTCTACTTTGCCGGGCGCAGATTGACATTCAGGATTGCTGCGTTCAGACTATCTTGTGTAGTAGAGATGTAACCTCTGCATGATTGCAAATAGTCGGGCTTTTATCCATGTAGTGACTATTTTGTGGCAGACTCTTATGCAGTAGGTATGGTTCTCTTCTCTCTGGCTATTTGTCTGAGTTCTGGTTGTAAACTTTGGAATGTCATTTGCTTTGGCTCTATTGTAGATGTCAGCATCATTTATGCCCTCCACGAACTGTTGGCCATTGGGCAAATGCATCACCGAGTTTACGGGCAAATGTTGCAATATCGTAAATATGATGACCTAATGTGGTTCAACCCATGGCTTTAGCACTACAGGCAGGCTGAATTGATGGAATATGGCTTTGACTGTCATGGTGGTAGTGCGTTGTTGTTGCCACTGGTAAACATTCTGACATGGTGTATAGAATGGGTGGCTGGCCTTGATATTACAGTTGTGCATACTCTTGTGTATTATAGTGACGGTGGGTATGCTGCCTGTAGAGGGTGCATTATATTGTTAATCCATTGGCACTGTACATTCATTGTCAAATCGTGTGGGTTTACATTTTTAATACGATACTTGAATATACAATGACATCAATAACATTACAGTTGAACAACCGGCTCTGCCTGTCTAGCACAAATAATGTTAGACCTTGGCGCCAAAATATGTGACACGAATTTCCGGCATAAATGGGGAGTGTTAGCAAACTAGTAGAGTCTAGATCCAAGATTGTGCTTACTGTAACTGTTATTGACTGAGTTACACATCGTCGAGAGGAGGCCCGAATAGGGGTTTCCCTGACAGTGTGACCCCAGGCCAATCAATTCCGGCCACATAGCGTTGCAGGCATATTGAAAGTAGAGGTGGAATACTTGGTTTTAGTAATGGATAAATACTAATAAAATTACAAAGGGTGTCCTAAACAGCTCGTCACAACTATGAGGCAAAGGTTTGAAACAATTATTTAACTACAGCCAGAAATTCGAGCCTGGAATTCGAGAATTTCTACAATGTAGCTATATTTTAATTAAACGTGGCAGGCTCACCAGGAAGCCGATGTATAAGAATGTATCAGATATCCCGGTGAATTGCTAAATGAGCATTAAAACGCTCACCAGGTTAATGGATGTTTTTATAAAGTTTTGATTTTTCAAATTAAACAATTGCAGAACGTCATCTTAGCCATGAAGAAAATGTTCGACTTAACAAGTTTGAAAAACAGTGCACTGATGAGTACAATAAAAAGTTAACGATGAAAACTACGTCTTCCGCTGGACAAAGGTAATTATATCATTAGTTATTCTATTCATTATAAAGGTAACAATACCCCTAACAAGTTTCTACTCTATTTCTTGAGAAATTGTACTCAATCAATCCTGTTATTAAACTCATTTATAGCATGGAGTCATTTCCATAATCGCTCGACCCCAATTTCTGCGCACACTAAACTATATATTGGCAATATAATTGGTAGTATATTGTACTTTATTAGGTTTTTTACACGTGTGAAAAAATCGAAGAATGTAAATGATGCTCTCGGTTTGATAATACGCTATACCGATGACAGGTAAGAACAAAACAAAATATTGCATTGTTAAGATTATTCGTACCATAAATCCATTGCAAAGATTTCAGTGGAATGTAGGTGCTTAAAAATAAACGACTATACTATACATAATGTTTTATTTTCTTTATGATCCAAATTTATCAATACTGTTAATACTTGTTAATAATCGTTTTCAAGGAAAGAAGAAATTGTGGCTTGTTGTTGAGACAAAATCAGTAATAATCATGAAAATACATGTTTATATGAAACATTATCAGTGTGTACAATATATTCATGATAGTAAGAACTACAACGTCTTGGTAAATATTAAAATAGTATTACAGTTGTTACCAGACTTTGGTAGACGGAGCATGCATTGAACACGAAGATCTTCTTTGTATTGAATAGCAGTATATGTTTATCTTTATTTTCAAAGTCGACTTTCAACATCAACATTTAAGAGAAAGATAGTTTATAAACCAGGCACTACTGTATTGTCTCAAAAGCGCATAAACTATTTGCAGGTGACAAAATGCTCAAAATACGTGACTCAATCGCTTTATTTGTTACTATCTTCTACATAGGCTTGATAAAATGTTCGAGGACATTAAAGAAATGGTAGCGGGCAAGAAAGACGAACAGATAGTAATGAATAATGAACCGCATGTGTAATTTTTTAAATCGTATGACGAGAATGTTTCATAAATGATTTTATTTCATTGTCTTCAATATCTTTTGTCGGAGGTTTTGTATATTAGTGACAATATTTTGTTAGAATATGTTTTAATTGCTAAATAAATTACTCTTCTTGGTTAATTTTATTTACAACATTAATATATTAACCATTACTCGTACCACATTGACCTGTGCGTCATGTAATTTTGGGATATATAGTCCACAACATAATCGTATGAAAACAACAATTTGTTGCAATATCATGTACAATTCAATATAAAATAGATTGAATGATGAATAATGAGGTTCTGATTTATGTGTAATTATCTTTATCTCAATGTATTTGAAGGGTTAACATCTATTGTGACAAACCCACCCCTACACTATTTACAGTTTCTATCAACCATCTTTGTTCTAATATAGCATCACACCTATCGTTATGCAGTTTCAGTAAATTTTTAACCAGTACAAACCCTGCCCAAGCCAAACTCCGCTATTAAATTGCATTTTCAGTTTTGCCGATATGTACTTTCTATTTCATATATTTTGATGAAATACTATCTAATTGTACTACTATATTTGACAATAAAGACCTTGATATTTTTTCGTGTAAGTAGAGTGACTGTTGTAATGTATTTTTTCTGTATGTTTGATAAAGGTTTTTACACCATCTACACCGAAACGTTACCTGAATAAAATCTATAGCCACCTAAGGCGTCGTAATAAATGTGATCAGTATCCAAAGTTATTCTATTGCACCTTCTAATATTTCCACACCATTACCAGCATCGGTCAATGCGCTGATTGATCTGCCACATCTGATATAGAATGGCCAAAACCACTACATCCGCCTACAACTTTATTTGTTATGAACTAAAAAAAATACAATACAGTTTAGCACAAAAAAACTTTGCTATACTTAATTGTAAAATGTTTAACAATATACAACATTATTATATATAAATTATTATATATCAAATATATGTGTCGTTTTTCGTCCCATGTGCTAGTTTTAGCATTTCGCCTTCCATTTCCGTTTTTAGTTTCTTTTTTTGTCGTTTCCGCAAAATATAACGACCCTTTAAAAGCTACATAATCACGCGGGCAATGCACATCGATCGTTGAATTAACAGCGCAAAACTGATTTCAAATATAAAATTTAGAGCCAGCGTTTTAAATTTCATTTAATAATAATTAGTGAATGATTTATTATATCCGTGAAATATGTGTATGAAATAATTAAATGCTGGTTTACGACGAACTCTTGAGAACTGTGACGTGCAGGTCCTGACAATACAGTTCACATTTTTTTGAACTAGGCATGGAAATCGTCCCGTGCACACGTGGACGTAATCACACCATTTAATGTCTGTATAATTACGAATTATTAAAATCCAGACGACCCGTATTTACCATATATGTTAATGTGTTAATCTTAAAAACTACCTCAGCCGTAATAGCCTACTTTTCAAACTTTGAGTACAGGGACAGTGACGACTCGGACATTTTAATAACAAATGTGAGACAGTGTTTCATGTTGTGCTTGATGAGCAGCATTTCATTGTCATTTCAACTTCAATGTTGGTGATTTGTTGGCACAGACCCAAGGTGAACAAAGTATATCGTATAGTTGATCGGCAGTTAGCATCGGTACATTTGTATGTTTGGCTATGGTAGTACATGGATCTACTCGCATAATTTCAGGATCATCTAAAGCATGGCAACATCTCGAGCAGCAACGAACTTAAATCAGGTTTTAAATATCATGACGTCTCACAGTTTACTGTGTCAATCACTAATTGGCCAAAGGCACCTGTTCATTTAATACCTGGATACTCGTCAGTGGCGACATCTAGGGCATTTAATAATACACACTTTCTGTACTTGTCAACATGTAATTCGTTTTTTATATTACAATCCAGACGGCATATGTCATTATGTCATACCCCCATGCCCATAACAAATGTTACTATGAATACATCAACAATACATCATTGTTGCCGCGGGTCGGAAAAACTGCAGCATCAATTATCAAGAAGTACAAACAAATCTACGACGTGACCATCAATTATTATATTACATTTATTTCCTTAGGACCATATATTGGTTTTCTGTTACACTGAAACCACAGGATTTAAAACTCAATAATCGCCTCTAGAATATGGTTACTCGTTATGTTTTATTCAAAGGCAAATTCGGCAGTTTTCATACACTCTAGTGTATATAGTATAAATAGTTCATTCCATTTTAATCACTGCATAATATCACTTGTTGCCCTCTTTTGGTAACCATATGCCACAGGAAATGCAAGATTAAGAGGCATCTGTAAAAGGAGTGGCAATGTAGACAAGTAGCTTAAAATATTTTTTAAATGTTCAAATGCCAGATGGTGATATATACTATTGACCAGCTAGCACTACTAATCATCTAATATTCTCCGGTTCATAAAACTTTTCTAACACTGGATCCAACTTGCCTCGTCCAGCCACCTGGCCAAGAAATGCAAGCGTGGTTAAACAAATAATATAATACAAATTGTTTAGCCGTTACGTCTTACTGTATATCTGGATGCCATTCACTAAACTAACGACGACCTTCCCTAAAGTACCCACCAGAACTGTTTACATAGTGTGTTTAAACGTAACTATTCACAAAATCGAATGAAAGGTAATGGTAGTTGAAAAAACGCAAAGGGGTGAGAAAGTCGTTGTGGCTTTGGCCTCAGGGGCTGAAAGTATATGACAAGACCCTATATTAAAACGAGTTTGATTATGTAATTACCTGTGGAAATTGTGCAAACAGTTTCTCCAGCTTAGACATCGGCTCGGCATTGTAATCTTATTGCGCTTCTGGAAACCTGAACAAAATTGCGAAGTTCATGCTTCTTAATAAGAACAATGGAGTTGCATTAAGGTAGCGAGAAGGGTTTTGTGACGTTTTCGAATAAAACATTCTCTGTCTGTTGTCTCGTTCAGAACAGTAATTTAGCTTATATATTTCAAAAGACTAAGTATAGAGGTGCAAGTTCGCACAAACTGGACAGTCATTGTTTACATAATTATCACGTGACATCAAAAAGGCGAACCTTGTAAAAATGACTAAGTCCGCGATTGCGAAAGCACACTGCGGAATTTCCTGGTTTGTTCTCTTTCCTTTTTTTATTGATATTTTTGTTTATTTATGAATATATTACTTTACTTATGTATCGTATCTTGGACGCCGTGACCACATCC